CCCTGTGGTCCCCCCGCAACGTCCTCCGCCCTCCCTGCCTCCAAACCGCAAGCCTTTGCTCTCTCCCCCTTCTACGTCTTTGTTCTTCGATTGCGTTGGTGCGGAGTCTTAGAGAAGTAAGAGAAGCGCAGGAAACATCTTGCTGTCACCGTCACCCAGCGAAGGCGGCGAGCACACACACACAGAGAGAGAGAGAAAGCGAAAGAGGGGCCAGAGGTGCAGGTGAACAAGGCAGAGGAAAAGCAGTAACCCACGCAAATTGTGGTGCCTCATTTACCCACACCCAATCCACATTGCATTCTTTTTTTTTTTTCTACTCGGCCTTCGGTTTATGCGAACGGCGAAATCGTTTTCGTTGAAGTCGCACGCGCTGCATCTCCTTCTGCACTCGCATCGCATCCGTCATGCTCACCCACGGCTGCTCATTGCGGTGAAGCATCTCCGCAGCCGCGCCGAGCCCCGGCTGCAGTTTCTTCTGCTGCTCGATCCATGCCACTCGGCGGAGGTACGACTGGACAGCGTCCCCGCCCTTGACATCATCGGCAGCGCCGTAGTGGCTCATGATGCTGCTCAGCATGTGTTCCCACGGCAGGCGAACGCCCCCAACTCCGCCACGCGCGGCACCGTTGCGAGTGACGTTTGTGGAGTTGCTGAAGCCCACCGCCCCCGCTGGGGTTGCTGTATCCCCCGCACGCACCGCCGCCCGTGGCTCACGAATGGCACGCAGCAAGGCATCCTCCTCGCCCCCCAACGCAGCCTCCGCCCCCGCTCCTGTGGCGCCAAAAAGTCCTTTTGCTCCTTCATCCGCACCGCCGTCATCAGCATCAGGTTCTTCTTCATCGCTTGCACGACTCCCCTTCCTCTGAGGCTCCCAACTCGCCCCATGCCTCTTCTTCCTCTTTCTGTCACCGGTGGAATTCGCGGCACTCCTCGCAGTTCCCGCATTCGCAGTCTCCCCCTCCACGCCAGGCTTCCTTCCGTCGGCGTCTTGCAGGGAGTCCATTGACTTGCGAAGCTCCGACTCCATCACGGCCAGAAACGGCATGTGCGTTGGAAGCGCCACCACCGCATCCATCTCTGATAACCTTCTCTTCTCTTCGTCCTCGTCCTCGCCTAGGCGTCCGCGGCGCCGCGACTGCAGGGGGCCGCGGTCATCTCGGCGGCGCGCAATCGAGTGAATGCGATACACATCCGGCCCGTAGCAGAGCAAATTGCATTCCGCCTGTGGATCGTACGGGTGTTGTTCCCCAAGCGCCTGAGCCTTGGCGAGGAGAGGTAGCTTTCGCAGCAGCAGATCGGTCCCTGCCTGCCGCGGCGCCTCAACCGTCGACGTCGCTTTGCCGGACACCGCGCTCATCTCAGGACTGTCCCTCCTGTGTTGCTTCTTCCCTTGCCCCGCTTAGAAGCGGAGAGGAGGAGGAGGAGGAGGAGGAGGGGAAGGAGCAAGGAGTAAAGCACGCAAGGAGGGAGGGAGCGAAACAAAGCACAGGGGCGCGCGGAGTGGGAGCACACGCCGTAACGCCCCTCCCCCCCCCCACCCACACACACACACACACAAACTAGCAATCACGCGCCCTCCCCTCTTGTTCATTGTTGCGCCTGGCAAAACCGTCTTCTACGCCCCACGCGTACTTCTCCCGCAGCCGCGCGGTGCGGCGGCATTCGCGAACTCCCTCGCTGCGAAGTTCGCGGCGACGCGGAACTCACTCCTCTGCGAGTGGCGGCACGCCAATCTCCCGCCAATCCGCCAGAAGGTCGTCCTCCGAGTTGAGACTCAGCGCCCCCTCGACGCCGCCCCGCGTAGCGGTTGTGCGTCGCACCCCCGACGTCAGCGGCGCGTTCGCCGGGAGGGTGAAGCTTGCGGGGTCGTCGAAGTCCACAAGCAGCTCCAGCTTCGGGTTCTGGATCATCAGCGTGGCGTCCTCAAGGCGCCAGCGACGGTGCACGTAACGGGAGTCTTTTGACACCATCGCCGCTCGCTCTAACGTCCCCTGTAGAAACGCGCGCGACCAGATAGTGAAAGGGAGACAGGAAAAAAAAAAGGGCTCCATTGTTGGTTCACGTCGATTACACGCCACTAACCAGGAGGAGGAATGGTGATATTCGGCAAAGCAACGTACAGAGTGAATACCAGCCTTGACTTTGACGGGCCCCTTCTAGGGCGGCGGCACACGCCGCAATCGCACGTTCGATAGGTATGTCATACCAGGGACGCTCTCCACCGTCACCTGGGCATCCCGTTTTAGTTTTGTTGTCACGCATGTGGGGGTGTGGGTTTGCACCTTTTCCACAAATAAACAAGTTTCGCCCCCTTATTCTGCCTCCTTCATGCGTTTTTCTTCACACACGCACCCAACCGAGCACGGTTCCCCCTGGGTCTGTTACACACATCCTTCGTGCGCTATCCACTTGCTGCAGTAGAACCTTGCGTGAGTATTGGCAAGGCAGTGCGGTGACTGTTGATGTGCCTCCTTCCAAGGTGTCGTTGCAAAGCCACCGCGCATTATCCCAGTTTTGCTCTGCCAGGAGCAGGCTGTACTGCCTAATCCGGGATGCGTTAGCAGCGGCCTGGAGCGGCAGCGAGGCAATACCCACAACGACGGCGACGTGCCCTCCCGGTAGGCGGCTTTCATTTGCATAAACAAGTAGATCACCAATTTGGGGCCTGTAACTATTCCATGCATGCTTCTTCATAGTGGCATTTAACGCCGGCGCTCGGTCACATGACAGCATGTTCTCATACTTGAACAGTTTGACGCGCTTCCCATTAGTGTACGAGGCATAATTCACCCTCGTCCAGATATCTTCTGCGTTCCTAACAGACATGAACTGCACGGCGGGCCACTTTGCAAGCAACCAGAACCGTCGCGCATACTCTACAGAGTGCCACTTCAAACCGCTGTGCACCGGTGAGGTCTTGACTAGCACAAAGTGCTCCTCTACGTTGCGATAGTCCCTGTTGCAGTTGCTGAAGGCAAACACGCCTTTGCTTTCCCCCAATAGTTCACCAAACGGCGTCACACAGTGCTCCGGCCTGGGCGGCGTGTCCAGGTAAAACACAAACACAAAAAGGGCCAACAGCATCATGGCCGACAGCAAAGCCGCCACCCACTCATAGTGGCAGTGCTCCTGCACCTTGCTAAGGACCGGGTGAAGCGGGGAGTAAATGCGCTCCCAATAGGGCACCTCGTCCATCTCCTCCCGCAGCTGCATTGACCCCACCTCCACCGGAAGCGGACGCGGGTGCAGCATTGGAGTGCGCTCATTCGGCGCCGCCGCTGGGGGCGGTGCGGCCACGGCACGCTTCATCGCCGACGTCCGCCTAGCCGATAGATATTCGCACGCGCCAACACGTATGGCGCGCCAAAATGCTCTCCCCAGAAGCCAAGAAATACAAGAAGAAAAGAACAAGAAGAAATGTTTCAGCCCAGTGGGTTCCCACTTTTTTCCCTCCAACGCCATTTTTTTTTTCTTGTTGTTGTTGTAGTTTCTTGAAGGAGGTGAACGGAAAACAGAAAAAAAAAACATAATGAGAGAAAAAGGCATCTGCAACCCTCTTCTTTTTATTTCCCTCCGCAGCTGCTTTGCTGTACAGGAACCGTTACGACATCGCAAAATTATACGCGCATTGCCCCTTCGAGAAGGCAGAGGAGCGGAACAACTACATTACTAGGAAAGCAAAACAAAAGCAAAACAAAAGCAAAAAGTCATCGGAAAACACCTGTCTCGGCATTGGCGAACATGCTGCGCTACTCGGCGTACCTCACCCATCCAGTAATGGTTCTCTTGTCCGCCTCGGCGACCTCGTAGATATCCTCCTTGGTGTTGTGATGCATGGGAATTTCACGAGAGTAGTTGTGGTGCGGCGCGGGCCACACCTTGTTGTCCCAGTTCTGCTCCGCTACAAGGAGAGACTCGCTCTTCACAGCCACAACCACGGCAACGTGGCCAAACGGAAAGCCACCCTCCTGCCGCGGGTAGATGAGGAGGTCGCCAACGCGTGGGGCGGAGCCGCCAGCACGGGCTGAGACGTTGTTGGCATACTTGAGCAGCGGCGTGGTCGAGCCGTCGAGAAGCTGCACAGAGGTCAGTGACCAAATGTCGGCGGCCCCCGCCACCTTTTCAAAGGACGCCGGCACAGGCGTCCCACGAAGCATCCAATAGCGCCTTGCAAACTCCACACATTGCCACTCAATTCCGCTCATGTTCCCGGGACCTATCCCACTACTACTACTAATACCAGCAGGACCCATGAGTGCGTGCATGGGGTGCCAGATGTTGGAGATGCAGGTCGTCGCATTGCAGTTACTAAACCCAAAGACACCGTTGGCTACACCCAAAATGGTCCCAAATGTCGTGTCACACCCGATGCTACACCCCTCGGAAAGCCGATAAGTGTCATTTCCCTCATGAACGGTGTCTAACCGGCTTAGGTGTGAAGTCCTCGTAAGCAGTAACGCCATCAGGCACGCAAGGAGGCCCCAGATGCCGACTGCAATGACGCAGTACGGCAGTGACGGGCACCACAACATCGACGTTGCTGCGCCCTTGTTAACCCGAGGCGCCTGCCGCGTTCGCTTCGTCGCCTCACGCGGTGACATCCTTCGTGAGGTATGCGCCGCGGCTCTACTTCTTTGCGCGGTGGTGAAGCAGAGGTGCACAGGCGCCCTCACGAGTCCCTTCCCCTGCCCGCACTTTTTTTCTTTGCGCGCCTTGCTTTGCCACTGGTCAACGCGTCAGCTTCCCTACTCCAGCGGTGCCCTGCTGTGGGCGAGGCAGCAGAAAACCAAGGAGCTCATACCCCCCCAGCAAGCGCACACACACACACAGGGAGCCAACAAAAACAACGGCCAGAGAATAAGGGAGGAGCCAAGCAGTATGAATCAAAAACACGTGAGTCCAACAGACACGAATGCAGAGACAAAAAAAAGCGGGCAGGAATGAGGCGTCGACCTAC